CAGAAGCAGTGAATTACCCCCTCCGTATGTGGCATTAGGCATCCCAAAAAGCCTGTTCTCAAAGTTCCTCAACTGTATTAAACACTCAGACTATATGGATAGGTATAAGCACACACCTGGCTTACCCTCCCTAGATCGTCTAATAACATGTCACTTCTCCCTTGTTTTCAGGTCTCTATCATCTTAGTCCATATCTGCATAAATGGAAATTAATCAAAAACATTCAAGTGTTCTCAAGTGAGAAAGGGAGGCACTTTTGAGTCTCATACTGCTGGCTGCTACACCTGTCTCTAAATTACATCTAAAGCGCTTTCATGCTGCTTAGAGCACAAGTATTCAACTACTTATGAATTCAAACTATGAATTGTTATGAAATAAAGAAAGGAACACAGCAAGGAGACATCCAAATCGCACTGATTGCAGTTTTAAGTAAACATACGTGAAGCCCAAGCATGGTGTTTTGCTGAGCATGTAGCTGTCTGGGAAGGTGTGTCACACTTCACGGCCAGCCTGCAGCACAGGACCTGCACGCCACCCCAAAGCTGAACACCAGCACGATGAAGCAATTCCTGCTTATTGGGACATCTCTGGCTCACAGAGGTCCGTTTGGCTACGTGTCCTCTTTAAAAAACATCACTGAAACAGGGAACATAAACAAAGGTGGTCAGAATCACCTGCAAGATCATTACTACCATTCACTTCAAACAGCAAAAACACATGATTAGCAATAACTTAGCCAACCCCCCTACTATGTATCTGCAAGCAGCATCACAAGATTTATAATTAATGCATGCACTCATGACCACACTGAGTTACGATCGCAGGAGCAAGGCACGGTACTACCCATGGGGCACCCCTGAACTTAGTGGCCACAAGAGGATACAGCTGCCTGAGCCATGCAATCACATCCCTAATCAGAACACACCCAGCAGTCACCTCTGCCATAAAGAGGTGTCCAAAGCTCTTGTCATTCATTTGAAAAAGCCTCTCCTCCACGTCAGGCGACTTCGTGCAAAGCAGTCATGCTCCTTTAAATTAAGGAGCATATCTGTGAAGCTACTTCGGGCTTTTCTCCCACAACACCAAGTCCTTCAATTTAAAGAGGGCAAAAGCCAGTCAGTGTTGGGAGGCTGTGAATGCGCAAAGACCAAACTAGAAGAAACCCAAGAGAGAAGCGACTTCTCATCCTCCAAAGCCTTGTCTGCATCTGCACTTGCAGATCAGCACCCCATTCTCCACTGGATGAGCAGGAAGGTTTTCTAAAATGAAGCGTTAGCCTGCTCCCTACTATGGCTGTTCAGCTACGCCACAGCTCAATCAATACAAGGGAGAGCAGAAGCATGGACTGACCATCACCTTGCTACTTTGCGTATCACCATTAGAGGAATCCTTCTGGTAAGCTGTCACTGTTACCCATGGGGCTGTCAAATACGAAGTCCTTGAGAAGGGGCTAGAATGGTCTTAGTTGCAACAGAACGATGTTCTACACATTTAGCCTGTTCAAAATCCTCCAGTCAGTAACTGGGTCTCTTGACACCTATGCTCCACAGGTAAGGCTTCCAATTTCTTTTCAAGGGGGCTGTGTTGTTTTTTTCCTAGATTAAAAAGAGCATACAGAGATCTTGCCTAGCACAAACTTCTTTCCAGGGGAGGCAAAAGTTCACTAATGGAAGAAGAAGGGAAAGGGAGGACTTAAAAACAGCCTTGGGAACTGTAGGATGAGAGAAATGAGTTGTCCTTTAGCAAAGCTCTGGTGAAAAAACACTGCTTCCACAAGGTCACCAAAGAGCAGTGAGGGCTTGCAGTGAAGCGCTGAGAGCTCTCCAAAGGCACGAGAACCTCAACTCAAGGTGAACTGAGGTTTTTTACTTATTTCCACTGCTGGGAACAGCCCCCTCCTCATTGCAATGTTCATTTCCAACAAAATATGAAAACAACAACTACCTTGTTAAACTAAATTACTAAATTACCTTCTTATGAGACAAGCACAGACAGGAGCAGTTTTTATGGACAACTGACTTGCTGAGGCTTGCCCCTGTAGCCATACCCGACTAGGAGGTTGATGGGAGGCTACAAACTGTTGTGACCTCTTCTTCCCCATGCAGCTAGAGACATTTGCTCAGAGACACAGAAGTTATTGGTCTTTAACCTGCCTGAGAAGCCTTTTCTCGTCTCTAACACAACCCCAAGATTCTATGAATCCCTCTCACATTCATATAAATACATATTAAGAAATGTACTTGAAAGCGCTTATGTTGAAATTTGTCCATAACTCCTTTGTTTAAAGTTCGTTAGCATTTTACAAAGGCCATCTGCCTGTAGAATTGCTCAAGTACAGCTCCTGAAATGTGAAATGAAAAAAAACCAGACAAAAACCAAACAACAAAACAAGGCCTCATTACTATATCAGCAGGATAATGTCTGCATGTTTTTTTTCTGCATAAAAAGGAGATTGTTTCTTACATAGTTGTCAATGAATTTTTCCAGCTTGGGATGACTCCTCTAATAAATAAAAATATTTGTTACAGCAGAGATGCACTCAGCAAGCTTCTCTGGATGAACAAATGAGATCAATCTGAAAAAAACAGTATTTGGCTGAACACAAGCGTCACTACTAAAATCACCATACCACATATGGTTTTCTCCTCAAATGCCTCCTTCCCCTTTAGTATGAAAGCATGCAGGAAAATGTATCCCTTTACTGAGTGTTGTGAACTAGTCCCATTCATGAGACTCAAGCGACCTAGCCATGGCAATGTTGCTAGCCCACCAGAGAAGACTGATCATGAGCCATGCTGAGACCAAGACTCCCAAGACTGCTGAAGTCATCTCATGCTTTTTAGAGCGATTTCAGTACCTGACATGTTAATAAATACCAACTTATTTTAATATGTTTGTTTACATTTCAAGCAAACCAATAAACACTGATAAAATTCACTTCATCTCAAAATCACAGAAACGAACATTCTGTGAAAATAGTTACAGCTTCCAGTTTGACATTAATCCAACTTAGATAACATAGTATCCAGAACGATTCTACTGGTTTCTGCAACTCACTAATAAAAAAAACCCAACAACCTACTCAAGCAGTAAACAGAAAACAATTATTATTTAACCCTTATCTCAAAGTATCTCTCTGAAGTTTTTTAACAAAAATAAATAACTTTGTACTTAAAATAAATGAGGTAAAATTACAACAGCTCTTCTCTTATGAAACCTGTAGTATAATGTGTAACAAATAAAGTTTTTCATTGGCCTACGAGCCTGGTTACAGACTTGTAAATAAAAGACTAGTGACAAAGTCTGTGATACTGCCAGCACCCCAAGGGGACATCTGCTGAGCTAGACTCAATTTTATCATAGAAACCTGCACCACAGTATCTCAGAGACAAAAGTAGTAAATTACCATGGTTCTTCAGAAAAGAGGATACTATGGTCGCTACAGTGAAATATAATTAACAATTTGTATAAAATATGGGCTGACAAATAAACGGTATTTTCAGAGTAAGCATATCAGAGATTTGGATTTTACCCTTCTGAAAATACATCAAATATTACATCAAAGACAGGAAACTGTAAGGTTCAACAAAACTCTACAAGTAGAACAAGTATTTACTTTCAGAAAAAAATGAACATCATTCTAAAGCAGTTGTACCTGTCCAAATCTGTGACTCTGGAAAGAAAACTGCTTCCTTCCTATATGTGAAGCAACAAAGAATTAACCAATACTTCTCTCTCTTACATGAATTTAAAATAAATTTTTCATGTTTCCATTGATCCACTTTAACAGTCAGAAGAGCAAGGGGAGCTGGGAGGAGTTTGATTAGTCAAGCAGTGAATATCATGAACAAAGCTTTATTATGAATTGGTATTTTGTTTCCTGAATGTAAGTGGCAGAAAGAATGAATGAATTATAATACAGGGATACCGAACTAACTTTTTTTGACTAAGAGCAACCAAAATAAATCATTCTGCTTTTCAGAACAAGCTATTCTAATACGAAGCTGATCACATTAATGTTGTACTTCATAACCACCCATGGAGACAAAGCAAATTAGCACTTTGGCCTCTTTTGAATATCAGCTTACCTGGGGCCTAGGAAGAAAGCAGAAGTTGTTGTTAATAATTAGATGTGGCCTTTACTAATAAAATCATATTAATCTTCCAATGTTAGATTTTGAGATAAAGGCATAGCTTCATGGTGGCAGAGGTAGGGAAAGGTACCAAAAATAGTTGAGCATGTCTTTAACTATGAACTAGAAGCTTCGTGTTTTGTTTTATGGAATAACCACACAGCACAAAATTTTGACGATCTGGCATGTTTTGAACCTATTTTTACTTCACTCATTTTTAAGTCCAAATGGCTGACAGTATCTAAAAGCGACGTTAAATGAAGTGCAGCTATGAGTGTAGCAGGAATAGGAGATACGATTCTCAAAGTGAAAATCTGAAGAACCTTCTCTTCTAAATACAGGTTAAAAACAATTACTATCATATTGCATTAATGGAATTTTTATTCAATACACAGCTCTTCTATTTGATGTGGAAGCAGACAAACACATCCCTTAAAGAAAAAAAAAAACCCAAACCCCAAACAACACAGTACTTCTCTACTGCTTTAGAAATTATGAATGTGCTCCCATTTCTCCTAGACTTTGTAAAAAAAAAAAAAAAAATTAAAAAAATTACCAACAGGAACCCTTAGAAGAGTGCCTTATCAGGAAAGGCCAGCCCGACCACTTGCTATTTCAGTTCTCCCAGCAATGTCTTATTTGTGTGCAATGAATAATCAGGTGCTAGATATCATTAGAGTATGGCATAGTGAATAAGTACCACCCACAGGCTGGGGTGGAACAGCAGCGCACAGGCTCAATCAACCTTTACATGTGTTTAAATTACATGTTCTTAAAAGCTTAACACTTTGCCTGGATTCTGCATATCAACCTTACTGCTAGAAAAGTTGCAAACAACAACAAAAAATCATCAGTATAAAAATATGCTGTAACACAGGCTTCAAAGAGCAAAGAGCTTCCACACTCCTCTTTATTTCAACAGAGACGATTAGTTAAGGTGCTTTCAGATTCTGCATTGCAGACAGGTTGGCAGAGGTGGCCGTTTAATAAGGTCTTAACAGTCTTTAGTGGGTATCTGAGAGCAGTTCCTAAGGCAGAACCCCAAACTGCTAGTTTCTGTAGCGGGGCATCTGTGGAGCAGGGGCTCCCTCTAAGGGGACCGAGGAGGAGACTGTCATAAGCTGTCCAGCATGCATTCTCTCATTCACCCGCAGTTCACAGCCATCCTGTAGCATCCTTATAGCTATCCTTGCAATGTTTTTAGAATCATCAAGTCCACTGTGAGGTCTCCCATCATAATTCATGCCCAGCTTTTCAAGCATGATTGTCAGCTTGGTCTGGTTCCTAGGAACCTGATGGAGAAAGTGAAGCACATTCAAGAATTAGGTTCTGTACCAAGTCTTTTTAATCTAACACAGTGCAGTAGAAACATGCAGATTTTAAGTCTACTTAAGTCACATACTACTTTCATGTTGCCTTTTGTCAGATCACTAACAATGTAACTTCAAAGTACCTTGGTGAGACAGACACTCTCATTTTTACAGAGGAGACATAGTCAACTGGAGCTTGTCTAGACTCAGGATAATGTCAAGAGCCTCTCACCATTACCAGCACCAGCTCAAGATGTACCAGTGCTGGCAACAGTGGAAGCCATGGCCTAGCTAGGTTTAACAAGCCTTATAAAAAAGGAATTACCACCCAAAGTGGTACTGCAGAAGGAATCAGATTTTTTTTTTTCCTTTTAAATGCTAAGCAAATAATGAAGCACCAGACTCCTGATTCTCACTGACATCAAGCTTCTGAACGCCTCCGAATACCACAGGAACAGAGAAGCAACACCTGTAACAGCCAATGTTTACATGGATGACCAACAGCACGAACAGACAAGGAAGCTTAACTGACCCATGCAAAGTGCTACACCAGCAAAAGCCTCAAGTCCTCTCTTGATTAAATACTAAATATACATTTGCTCTTTGAAAAGGTCAAAGAAAAACAAAAGGGTAACTTTAAAGGAAAACTTTGTTTTTTCACACCAAGTTTGCTCTCTTGGTGGTGATAGTTGGAGTGGGGGAACACAGGACATGACAAGTTCCAGGATATTGCACCATACTACTGGATTTAATAGCTAGGTGGCATGGCGACAACACAGTTGCCAAAACCTGGCCATATGCAACTCCAATAATAACACCCACAAACTGGGCAGGAGAGACATACCTGCAGGTTGTGAGATATTCCACAGGAAAGTTACAATACATTCCTTGTCATTCATATTATCTATTACTACTACTTAACAACAGATTCAACAACAGCACAGAATAGCTAAACAGAAGCGCTGAACAACTATAAAATGCTACCAAAAAAAAATTACAAAAAGTAAAAAGAAAGTGATTCCTTCTAAGTTATAGTCTTCATTGCCTTTGATGAAAAAGCACTCACTGCTCAACAGAGAAGGAAAAAGAAGGTATGTCTAGGTTAAAGCTGATAGGACTAACAAGACTGTTCAGTGCTCTAGAGTGTTTCCAACAGAAACAGTCATGCAGAGAAGACACAATAATAGAGGGAGAAGTGGAGTAACCCTGTAATATTCGCCCAGCACAAAGTAAGGCTCTTCTCTCATTAAATGTTAACAACTTCTTTTTTCCTAGAGGTTACATTTAGTATGAAAAAGCCCTTCAAGAGAAGATTGTCAGCTAGGCTGAAATCACATTCAAACAAATGGTTTAGTGTAGACTGGCTAGGAATTTGCTAGAAACTCCAGTAACCCATTTTATGGTAATCTGACAGTGAAAGAAAGCAGCAATAAGGTCCAGCACTGAACTTGGTATTACTTTTATCTTGACAATTTGATTCCACTGTAGATTCATCCTCATCTTTCTCTGTCCCCATTACACTGTCAAAAGTGGAGATATCCGAGGGTACTGGTGCAAATTGGTTTTGTAGTGTATTACATGAAAACAGGGAAAAATAATTGAAAAATCAATACAGAGTCTTTTCAGCTGAACTACTTCAAGACACGCTTGATCTAAGAGCACCAGTATGACATTTTTAGACAATCCCTCATGGAGCATCTCCTGATTCTTAAAAACAAGATTAAAATCAAAATGCAGTAGATGATATGATCTTCAATTAGTGAAGTGAGATCTGGGCATGAAGCACATTTGAAAATCAGGCCCCAGGGAACTAGTTTGAGTATTATAATTTTATACTACATAAGTAAAGATGACAAGCACAACAGGACATTCTAGCCTTTTAAATCAGATTTTCCCGGAAGAGAAACAACAATTTGTACAAACCTTATAGAAGTTCCCATACGATTTGCGAATATTGATCCACTTTTTGGCAAAAGAAGGGTATTTGATACAGCTAATACGGCACTGGATGTTCAAAAATTTACTCATATCCCAAGATCTTAAAAAGTCAAAACAGAAAAGAGAACAACATTATAATACATAATTCAGATGCCCTGCATTCTACATATTGCACAGCTATAGCACAAACAGCTGACTTTTCTTTGGTGATCAGTAGAAGGAAAACAGTTTAGGAAAAGCTCTTTTGCTATAGTCAAGGTAAAGAATTTTTTAATATGAATTTGTTAATCATGGGGAAAACAAATAATGACATGAGCAAGATTTTTACTAGAACGGTTTCAGGTCCAGAATGGTTAAAATAAAAAATAGCACGCCAACTTCTCCACCTACCACATCTACTCCAAAACCCACCAATAAAATAGATGCTTACACAGCCCTTGGGGAAGCAAGCGACACCTTAAATTTTCCTGATCACTTGGGTACGCATGCATCTCTCTACTTAACGTAGGTTATTGAAACAAGACTGCACTCAATTTTAGGAGAACCAGACTTTTATGGAAAGAAGATGAAACTATAACTCTATGCACTTCTAGTCTGCCTTCCTAAAGGGAACCACCCAAAGAGTTTGTAAGCTTCAAGCTAAAATAAAGCCTTTTTTCCCCTCTCTTGCAGCTGTCTACACAATCTCACATACATAACAAGATTTCACTGCACCTATTTTCCTGGAGGAATTTCACTGAGGGGATTCCCCTGGAGGGGAATTCCAGACACATTCTAGGCCCAGTAATATAACCAGTCTTGCACCAGTTTTGCTTTAGCATTTTCTTCTTTTAATTCACTGTTGCTTCCAAAGATAGAAACCTAATCATAGGTAAAAAAAATAGCCAAATAGCAGTATGTACCACAGTTCCTTAAATTAATTGGATTGACATTATCTTAACTCCTTATTTTTAAGGTGTACATGGATCTAAACTGTACACTTCAAACCTTGTGTGACAGCTTCTAAATGGCTTCACTGTTCACACTGGATACAACCACACTTCAATGTTACAGGTTCTTCACCAGAAAAGAGCTGTGATTTATAGTCATCGTCCAAATTGTCAGGAATTTTGAGAAAAAAAGTCTCACGGCCAAAAAAAATTTTCCCACTTGCTAAGTTGGGTTAGTTAAAAAAGCTTTTGTTGTGTATCCATTCATCTCCTATGATACATTATTTTTCAAACCACTCATATTATAGACTAGAATATTTATCTGTGTTTTACTTGAGAGAAGTGTTAGGAAGTCATACTACGATCCCACACACTCTTTTCATAAACTCCGTTTTTGTTTCGGGGTTCATCTCTCTTTGGTTCAACACAGTCATTGTAACAGAGCAGCACAGGACTGCCTTTTTAATCCAGAACAGCCGAAGACCTGCTCCAGGCAAACAGGCGCAGCAACATGAAAATACATCATTCACTTCAACATGGCTAATGTTAAAAACTCCCTGTCCTACTTAAATCCCTCATTCCAAGAGAAGGAGAAGAGCAGACGTTAACAGAAAAGTAATGTTTCATAGCTAAAAAGCAAGCATCACCTATGGAAAAATTCTCTGGCCAGTGCTATATAAGATAAGGCTCCAACAGTATCTTTCATCATATAACAAAGCTAAGATCACAAGAACAGTATTGCATCACAGATATATCCAGATCTCAAGATCTGTCCACTCTGCAGTCATTATGAGACTTGATTTTCCACCCAGCCTTTGGGACAGAGCAAGTTCAGGTAGCAGGTTCAAGGACTAGTCAACCTCTCACACAGAAAGCTTGTCAGAGCTGGGACCCATCAGAGCCACAAGTCCTCTAAGCCAAAGCAGAGAGCTTTCTGTGCTAGCCATTCCTCCTTGTTCGATAAACAGCATAATCCATTATTGCTTTCTGCCGAAACATGCAGGACATATTATCAGTAACACTAACACGCATAGGATACAACACAACCACCACAGGTCTCTGAAACCTCGGATTCAGGAGAGCATGGGAGTTGCTTAGAACTGAAATTGAACAACATTATATTCAGGTATTATGTGCTATATGAAAGCCAGATGTAAACAGAGAATTACAACCACAAAAAAAGGACAAAAGTCTATTCAACATCATTTAGTTGTATAAAGCAAGCTAGGAAAGAAACAGTGCCATCTAATGGATTTAAGCTTAATTTCAAATTGTTTAGTTCCGCTTTTCTGATTTTCCTGAAAGCTAAAATTATAATACAATGGCAAAACGGAAGTGTCATGATCTGCCTTTAGCAACACTCTCACGAAGATTAAACATTGTTTTGCAGTTTTAGATTGTGCTGAAGGTTGCATAAGGACATACCCATCTGTCAACATGGAATAGCTATACTTTGTTCCCAGTTCTCGCTGTCTCATCCACTCTATGACATTCTGCAAAACTTGAGGAAATGTATCAGCTTTATCAACAATGTCCTAAGAGAACCGAAAAAACAAAAGTGAGGAACATTTTATCAGAAAAAAACCCAGCATGAAGTGTAAGAATTATATTGGTATATAGGCACTCACTAAGTTGGCTTCACAAAAATCTTTAGAAACAGATTACATGTTAAGCAGACAATTGGACGGATTTTTCCAAACTGAAAAAAAACCCACCACAAAAGCACCACTAAAAGAGCCAACCTCCAAATGGCATCTATAAAGGTAACAAGGTTAGTCAGCTGTTGAACATGGATTAAAACCTTTGAGCTTGCTTCCCAGGCTCCCGCTCAAGTCACTTGATCACAAGCCATTGCCATCGTAGTACTATAAACCCTTTAGAATAAAAATCTTAGAAGAGGAACTGATGCAATTCAAAAGGTGCTTTCCTCTGCTAAAGATTTTCTACACATGGATTACAAAATTAATGTTTTTCCCTACAGACCCTTACAAACACCTAAATGACCAACTTAGTGAAGTCAGTTCTGTCATAATTGGGAGAGAGGGAAAACACAAGGATTAAGAGAATAAGCCTTACAGAAAAATTACCATGAAAATTATCACTCTGAAGACATCAACACCACATCTTTTTTTCATATTTTTTCCAGAAGAAACAAAAGTGCAAATTACCTGGGTGATTCCTGTCAGACTGATGCAGAAGTTTGAAAGCTTGGGATTGATTTCTGGCTTTACATATTGCTGAAAGGTATCCTCCTGTAATAAGAGAATCAAACAGCAGCAGCACACTGTAGCAACTTCTTTGGCTTGCCTATAGCTGAAAGGCAACAGCGGCTACTTGTCCTGCTGGAGGCAAAAAAGGAGTGTGTACCTCCCCAGCCAGTATGAGCGTCCTGACTGGCCATCATGAGATTCCCAGTGGGACAGATGGATGGCTTTCCAACCAGAACATGTCCGTCCTCTCAGCCAGTAGGCACCAAAGAGCAAGGATGTGGATGTAAGAGGGGAGGAGGACAGACTGCAATAAAGGGGAGGATTTGGGAAAATGAGAGCATGAATAAGGAAAGAAGTGAGAGGCATGAACAAAGCCTGATGTTTTTCAGGTGGTATCTCTAAAAGCTCACCTGTAATTCAAGGCAGGCAACTGGCTACACATCTCAGAGGCTGCATGCAAGTCATACACCTCTGGATGGCAGCCAGAGATACACACTATGACCTCACTCTAGGAAACTGAGCAGTACAAGAATGAAGACTACATGCAAGTTTCATGGAAAAAAGCAAGCCCCAAATCCCTGCTGCTATACAAACCCTTTTGGACAGAGGAAAAACCCATGCTGTTTCTTCCTACTCTAAAGGTAATAAAACAATCTTGGTATCTGCACAATCCTCTCGTTAGTCATACAGGCAGCTACACGCTAATGCAGCATCACACTGACTACTAGAAATCATCCTCCTCTTAGAAGTTCTTGATAAATGAACCATTAGTCAGAGGTGCATGCACTTCCTCCGTTTCTCTGAGTCACTCAGTGTCAGTTAGACAGCAAGTAGGTTTTCCTAAAAGAAAGCTGTACTGGAACAGAGGACTTGAGGCTGCCAAATGCCTACCTAAAATCAGGTTACACACCTGTCAATCTGTCAGGTGCACTGCGGAATTAGTCTAGCCTGCCAAGAAGCAGAGTTCACTCAACTCCACTTTCTAGATCTCTGCATTAGTCTCTTCTAGATTACCTCACATAGGACGACAGAATTTTCTAATTCTTGTTTATGACAAAGCCCTGGAGTCCTAGAAATAGCTTTGTAGATCTTAAAGCAGGGAAAGACAAAGGGGAGGATGACTGAGAAACTGAAAGTCCCTCATATCAGTAGAGGGAGTCAACAGCAGGAGCATGATCTATTCCAAATGCTTTAAGAATAAAGTTTTGTTTGTATGCAACAGGCACAGAAGATAGGTCTTTATGAAAAAAAAAAAAAGGAAAAAAAAAAAGCTATTTTTAATGAAGTTCAACATCTACCTAAAAACTAATCTAAGACCTTATGAAGCAAGGAAGTTACGCTGAAGTACAGCATACTGACACAGTAATTAGATCACTTACTATTTCCAGGGTATGCGTGTTTAGTAAGACAATAGGAAACTCAATTATTTCATGTATGAATTCAGGTGGGTTTCCTTCTTCACATGTTGCTTCAAAGTCAACAACACAGATGTAGTCATAGTAGCTGTCTCCATTAATGGGTTCCTTCTGCATCAGCTTCTGTTTCTTGTAATAGTTTTTCAGTCTCTTTTTCAGCACATCTTTCACTCCTCTAAAGAGATAGGGAAAATGACAAAGATCACACTCTCATTTAATTAATTATTTCACTATTGTAGAACTGAAGCTATATTTAACATTTGAAAGTTCATCATTTATTAACCTCATTTTGAACACCAGCACTTAAGAAGTCTGCATTCAACTTTATCATACAGTTAACGCTCCATTATCTGGGATAATGCAAAGGCTGCAACAGCCCCCGATAACTAACACAGCTAGATAATATCAGTATTTGGGTATGGGCTGGGAAGTGCAGTGCAGAGACACTCTGCAGTCACCTCCAGTTCAGCAAGACCCAGTAGCTGGAGCCTTTGCAAAGCCCAAGTCTTTGCAGATTGCTCCTAGATGATCTCTGGCCCTGGAAGCAGTACTGCTTCACCCGTACTTCAGTGCCCTCTGCCTGAAGCGACTGATGCCTGAGGTATTTCCACATCAGTGGCACAGATAATGCAGAATCCAGCTAAAACGCTCCCATTTTAAATTTGTCTCAATTTATATTTAAAATTGAGCTCGAGTAACTTGATAAAAATAAAGTACTCGAGATTTCAGTTGTCAGAACAACTTCCTGGTCAAGATCCTGCTTTTCAGGAGGTTTGTGGCTAACACGTAAGTTCACAGTGGCAAGTGATTAAAGTTACTTACTGCATCTTTTAATACAAACATAATATGCAAGTGCAGGTGCCAGAACTGCCACATACCAAACCAGAGCTGAATAAACAAGCATAATTTACTCTCTGAAGGATGTTATTTTTAAAACTACACATTGCAAATGAAATTGCAGAAGCCGTAAGAGCTACTTGTAGCTTATCAGAAAAGCAGCCCACTGATCCACAAGGGAAAAACTGGAGTCAGACTACTAAACCTGCATTTGAGAACATCAGCTGCTTCTACAAACACAGATAACTCTTCTTCACTCTGGTTTATTAATCTAGTTTAATTCAATGACCAATTCATTCAAAGTTGAGACAGTATGGGAGCTATTGGAGTGGAAAATTACCTTTTTCTTCATCACACCTATAAAAGAGGTTGAAGGAGAAGATTATCTGCTAACAAAATAACCCTAAGGGAAAGGATGGTGTGTGGCAAGCTGCTCAATTCACTACATTAGAGGTGATGCACTGTTTGTTTGCACACAAGACATATTCTGACCAACTTAATTGAATATATCAAACAAAAGAAGTCTAGGTTAGCTAAAAGAAAAGTTTAAAGCTTTCTGCCTTTACAACTGAATAAAAAGCACAAACAGAAAATTAATAACCTAGGAAGAAACCACAAACATAATTTACTACTTGAATTCTGCTTTTTATTTTTAAATCAGAATAACTGCTGAATAGCTGTACAAATCTAACCTGTTTTACCAAAAATTTTATCAGGTAATGATAAAAATTTTTCCTCCCGAGAAGCTAAATTTAAATGAATTAAATGAACCAAAGGAGGAACAAAAAAAACTATGCAGCCAGAACATCTGCAGACAGACAGGGTGGAGGTGGCAGGCTGTACTTCCCACCCACACAATATTTTTTTTCTTTTATTCTGTTCAAATGAATCTCTGTTTCTTCTGGTTTTTTTTCCTCTGAACATCCTCTCCGCTACAGTCATCTTCTCCTCTAAAAAGCTAGACTTCTCCTTTCAGACTCCTTCTCACCTTTCATATTCCCTCTTCCTCCAGAGCAGTAGCTTCTCACTTTGCTAACTACCCACCACCACCACTGCCTCCCAACTACTGCTGCCAATAGAAACAATACACTTTATTTTTCCCAGTTGACCTTCTTCTCAACATATCAGATTTGTCAGGCCACAGCAGTATCAAAGGGTCTTGCAGGTCATTTCTGATAGAGCAGGAACCACTCTCATTCCTAGCCCTTTCCACCTCCTCAGTGAGCACAAATCCAGTTTATAACACATTCACCTACTCACATTATTCTATCTCACCTATTCAGATTAGCAAACTCTCCATCTAAAGGAACTTGTCCTCTGCATTGATTAAATTCCAAGCCCTATCACCACAGAGGTTTTAGCCAAGATTAGATCTGTATTGGCTACAGTAAATAACAATACGTATGTTCTGAAGCGAGTTTCTATATGCTGAAGGTCTGCAAAACCACCGAGAACCCTTGCAGTTCTTCTTTCCCCCTTGACCAAAAAAGTGTTGAGAAGTACCCTACAGTTACATATTCTTTTGTTTGTGTTACCAGTTGAGACAGCTCACGTTTCTGATAACACATTAAGCAGTTTCACATGCACTAATCCTGTAACAAAAGCTGCATCAAGATTGCACATAAAACAACTGGCATTTGGTGGCGTGTCTGCTTTTCACTTTGTGGTGTGTTTTTAAAATTTAAAATAATCATCCCTTATGACTCTACCGCTCTCAAAGATAAATCAAAAGGTTTACAAATCAACCTAACCTGGTTTCAAGCTTGAATTCTGCAAGTTTACTTCTGAGCTCATCTCTGGTCATTCTGTTGATACAGCCATTGGTTATAGCAATTTCTTTGTAAATCGGATCACTGAAGTCATTCGAACTGGCAGTTGAGTTTTTCCCATTAGTTTCTTGATCACTGATCCTACAGTGCTGCCTACCCTAGAAGAAAGAGAAATCCGAAGGTCATTTAAGAAGGTCATAACAAGAAGGTAGAGCATTAAAAATTTCACATCATTTTGGCACCAAAATGCAGCAAAGGTCACGCTGTTTCACTCGTGATCAAACCGAGTGAAATATCCTACAGATGGCTAAGAAAATCAATACTGAAGCAGACAGAATAAAGGGATACTAACGCACGTGTCTGAAGTCATGCCAAAGAGTAGCTCCAAGAGACAAAACCTGAAGGCGTGTCCCACTTTCAACAGAGTTAGCTCTCCGGTAAGAGCTGGCAAAACCTTGACTGGCAGTACCTTAATTAACGAGAATCTCCACTAACTGAGACACACGGACAGATGTCCAATGCTGTGCAAAATGAATAATACTTTAAGAGTAAGAACTAACGGCACTTCGACTCTAAACGGTTAGTCGCAGCCTTTGTGGGCCAAGCACACGGCAGGGCCAGCCTCCCCCGGGCCCGCCGCCGCCACCACCACCACAGCCGCCGGGGCCTCCCTGGCCTCGGGCGCAGACGGAAGGGCTCGTGGCACCGGAGGCGCCCCCCTG